TTTTCATCATTTAATGTGTATTTTGAGAAGCAGATGTTCTTAATCCAAATATAGTTAAAACATTTGTATTTTTCTATATGTTTTGATATTTGTATGTCCTATTTATGAAATCTATCCATATCGTAAGGACAAAAAAATAATTTTATTGTTTTCTTTAAATTTTATAAATTTTTCTTTCACATGAAACAACAGATATGTGTGTGTATGAGTATATATACACAGATGCATACATACATATTTGTGTGTGTCCATATGTAAAATTAGGAAAAGAGAAATTTAAGAATAAAAAAGGATAAATTTGATTAAAAATTATGTTTTACGATAAATTCCAAAAATTGCAATGTTAACCATATCTTTTTTCCTTTGATGTCAATCCTAGTGGCTTTTAGGTATCTCTGTAGTCTAAATATTTTCACTAAACTCTCTTTACTAGAAAATTCATCATCTTCTGTTACATTTGGTGAAAACTTCTAAAGTTTTCTTCTGTAAAAATCAGAGAAAATGTCTAAATGATGACAAACACTGTCATTAAATGATCCATTGCTTTAGAATGTTTTTGGTGAAAGCAAAGCAGTTGAGGCATTCAAACTTTGCCTTTTTGAATTCTTTTGCCAACCCTGTACCATCTTTTTTTTTTTTCTGGCATTCGTAGAAAACAGAATTGAATTTACTCATTTTGTTTATTTGTCTTTATAATCATTGTTGATTTTGAATCTACTGTTTAAATGCAGCAATGTATAGTACAGTAGGGATTAAAGATATGAAATTACCCTTGAAATAAGCTTGAATGGTTCTGAACCATTAAAAACATTCTCTGGAAACCTGTATAGGTGAGTGTGTTTGTACGTGTGTGGTACAGGCTGTATAACTGGGAGTTCTCCAAATTAACTTCATGTAGAATACAATTTTTATTAAAAAATAAGTAATTAAAATGTGTTAATTGAAACTCACACATTTATAATTAAAACTCAACAGTAACCATACTATTAAAACAACAAAATATAGTGTCTAAACTTGACAAATATTTAGAATTGCCATCATAGTGGGATAATACAAAGCAGACTTATCTTTGTTGATTTCCTTATTTTAATTTTTTTGTTTGTTTGAGGCAGTCTCACTCTGTCACTCAGGCTAGAGTGTAGTTGCGTCATCATAGCTCACTACAACCTCAAACTCCTGGGCTCAAGCAATCTGACTGCCTCAGCCTCCCGAGTAGCTAGGACTACAGGCATGCACCACCACACCCGGCTAATTTTTTTTTTCTATTTTTGTAGAGACCAGGTCTTGCGCTTGCTCTGGCTGGTCTCAAACTCCTGGCCTCAAGCAATCCTCCCGCCTCAACCTCTCAGAGTGGTAGGAATACAGGCATGAGCCACCAAGCCCTACTCTAATTTCCTTTCTTTTGGACATATACCCAGTAGTGGGATTGCTGGACCATATGATAATTACATTTTTAGTGTTTTTTTTTTTATTGATATGTAATAGATGTAAATATATTTTGGGTACTTGTGATAGTTTTGATATATTTCTATAATGTATAAAGATCAAATTAGAATAGTTAGGTTATCCATCACCTTAAATATTTGTCTCTATGCTAGGAACATATGAATTATGCTAGCTATTTTGAAATGTATAATGAATTATTAACTATAGTCACCCTACTGATCTGTGGAACATTAGGTCTTATTTGTTCTATCTAACTGTATATTTGGACACATTAATCAATGTCTTTTTATCTCCTCTGGCCCCCTACCCTTCCCAGCCTCTGGTAACCACCAATCTCTGTCTTCATGAGATCCACTTTTTTAGCTCCTACATATGAGTGAGAGAACATGCAATATTTGTCTTTATGTGCTTAGCTTATTTCATTTACCATAATGACCTGCACTTGCTGCAAATGATAATATTTTATTCTTTCTTATGGCTAACATTCCATTGTGTATGTATATACACCACATTTTCTTTATCTATTCATCCACTGAGGGACACTTAGGTTGATCCCATATTTAGGCTATTGTGAATAGTGCTGCAATAAACCTGGTGATGTATAATAGGTATCTCTTCAATATATTGATTTTCTTTATTTTGTATACGTACTCAGTAGCAGAACTGCTGGATCATATGGTAGTTCTATTTAGTTTTTTGAGGAACCTCCATACTGTTTTCCATAATGGCTATGCTAATTTATATTCCTACTAAGAAGGTATAAGAGTTCCTTTTTCTCTGCATCTTCACCAGCGTTTGTTAAATTTTATGTCTTTTTAAAAATAGCCATTGTAAATGAGGTGAAATAGTATCTTGTTTTGATTTTGATTTGCATTTCCCAGATGATAAGTGATGTTGAGTTTATATGCCTTGTTGGCCATTTGTATGGCATATTTTGAGAAATGTCTATTCAGATTATTTTTAAAAATTGGATTATTTGTGGGGTTTTTTTTTGCTGTTGAGTTATTTGATTTCCTAGTATATCTGGATATGAATCCCTTGGAGGAATAGTTTGTAAATATTTTCTCCCATTCTATAGGTTGTCTTTTCACTTTGTTGATTGTTTCCTTTGCTGTGCAGCTTTTTAGTTTGATGTAATCCCATTTGTCTATTTTTACTTTTGTTGTCTTTGCTTTTGAGGTCTTATCCATAAAATCTTTGCCCAGACCAGTGTCCTAAAGTGTTTCCTCTGTTTTCTTCTAGTAATCTCAGTTTTGGGTCTTGCAGTTAGGTCTTTAATCCATTTTAAGTTGATTTTTGTCTATGGTGAGAGATAGATATCTGGTTTCTTTCTTCTGCATATGGATGTCCAGTTTTCCCAGCACCATTATTGAAGAGACTGTCCTCTCCCTAATGTATATTCTTGGTGCCTTTGTCAAACATCAGTTGGCTGTAAATATGTGGATTTATTTCTGAGTTTTCTATTCTGTTCCATTGGTTTAAGTGTCTGCTTTAATGCTAGTACCATGCTGTGTGGTTATTATAGATTTGTAGTATATTTTGAAGTCAGGCAGTATGATGCCTTCAGTGTTATTGTTTTTGCTCAGGATTGCTTTGGCTATTTGGGGTCTTATTTAGGGGTACAAATGCTTAGGACTGGAACCAGACAAGGTAGCCCTCTGTCACCACTTCTATTCACCATAGTGCTGGAAGTCCTAGCCAGAGCAATCAGACAAGAGAAGGAAATCAAGGGCATCCACATGGGGTAGAAGAGGTCAAACTATGGCTCTTTGCTGATGATATGATCTTATATCTAGAAAACCCCAAAGATTCTGCCATGAAACTACTGGAATTGATAAATTCAGCAAAGTCTCAGGTTACAAAATCAATGTGCACAAATCAGTAGCATTCATATACCCCAACAATAGCCAAACTGAGAACCGAATCAAAGACTCAATACTTTTCACAATAGCAACAAAGAACATAAAATACCTAGGAATATATTTAACTAAGGAGGTGAAAGATCTCTACAGGGAAAACTACAAAACACTGAGGAAGGAAATAGCAGAGGACGTAAACAGATGGAAAATCATACCATGCTCATGGATTGGCAGAATCAACATTGTTGAAATGTCTATACTGCCCAAAGTGATCTATAGATTCAATGCAATCACTATTAAAATACCAATAATATTTTTCACAGATCTAGAAAAATATTCCTAGGTATTTTATTTTTGAGGGTTATATTTTGATGGATATGGTGGTTGTAGGTCATATAATGTTTAGAAAGAGTGAATGGAAGTAACAAAGGCACGATGTACAAGATTAGATTAGGATGATGGTAAAATCAGCATGGTTAGAACAGTGAATTGGTAAGGAAGATCAAACCTTTGACTTGGAACTGTTATATGAGTAAACCCAAAATGCAGCTAGGCAGAGAAGTTAAAGCATGGTTGGATATGAGGTTCAGAAGCCCACTTGGAAGCTTAAGCCTCTCACACATGGAATTAAAGTATATCAGGAGACTGACTAACAGTTTTCTGGTTTTTATAGGATGATATGCACTGGTTCTTTTTGGATGCACATTTTTAAGTGTTTTTGTGGTTGTACCTTTTCTTTTATAAACATGGTAAAAAAGAAAATGCTGCTAAAATTATATGGAGGTTAAGGCAAGGCTGTTAGTGATATTTGTCAACAACTGCCTTAGTTTTAAAAGTGTGCAGTGATTGATCACATAAAGCTTAGTAGC